TGTTATTGGAATCACAGATTTTATCCTTTTGTATATTTAGCACCATATGTGTTGATTTTGGCTTATAAATCAAAGGCTGTTTGAATAGCAGCTGAGTCATAAAATGTGCTTTCAAATAGTTTGCATTTGTAACCTTGTCCTCTGCTTTGCTGGGATTAAAAAAGCTGAAAGGTCAGTTTCTTCTAACCTGAAGTTCATTCTTTAAAGAGTGGTTGGAGGAGAGCTCTTATTATCAGCAGCATAGATCCTTGTGTAATGGTCTGGTCATTAATAAGGAGTTATAACAACTGGTAAATAATTTAAAATGCTGTCACTTACTGTGATCTATATAGTGTGAGATTAATTAATATCTAAAGTATTATATTACCCTTTAAAAGCAATTTTCCCCTAATTTCTTGTTAATTTAAAAAAGTAATCTCCTACACAAGTTAAAGTATTGGATTACTTTTTAAAAGTAACCTTCCCAGATACTATAGATGCATGAATTGTCTTTCACAAACACTTGCATTTTAAGCTTTATCACTGTTGCTCTTTACTCACATGACATCTTCCAGAATCAGACAGCAGCAATGAAAAGCAGATTTGCTGGTAAGGCTATAGCTCGCACCTGGTGGTATAAACATGTAGCCCTGTTTCTAACACACGTGGCAACAGGGCGTCCCGGCTGCCTGATCACTTGCACAGGCCAGGTAGCACAGGATGTGAAGCATCATGAGTAGCAGGAGCATCTGGCTAAGGAATGTAAAAACGGAATTTTAAGCATCATATTTCTTGCCTGTAACATCCTATTTTAAAATCCAGTAGGAGGTTGAAGAAATCTGATTGTTCTGAGCATTCCCTGAAATACATGTAACATTCAGAATCTATGATCCGGGAGCTTTGTTAACATGTACAAAATAATAGCAATAATTACCATGTAGTGTTGCATAGTAACATTGTTACAAAGGATTGAAATTTTAAAATTATATTTATTATTATATTAGTCTTGCGAATCCATAGCTGGGCTCTATTTTCAACAAACACATTAATTGAAATTCTATTTAGATTTGAAATTCATAGATTAATGTTACAGATCCTGTTTTGCAGACATAAACATAATTAATAAAATTAATTTCATTAATATGGGGAGTAACAGGTCTTTCACAGTTTGTGTGCAATTTATATACTGTAGCATTAGGTTTTTAATCACAACATTGATTCGATATCCTTATTATTAATCCTCATCTTAAACATTGTAATCAAGCATGTCTTGGAGAGAAATATGATGCTGAAACAACTGATAAGAATATACAAAATTTTATTCTGCCCATGCAATTCATTTGAATAGATGTAGCTAATTGATACAGTAATCTCTTCTAGACATGATGTGACAGAAGTCAAGATATCTCCTTTTATAACACAGCTAAGTAGCTTGTTCCAGAATCCCATAACCCTTTGTCTAAAAAAATGAAAGACTAATAATGTATGAATCTTCCTTTGCTTCTTCCATCCAAACAGAGGTGCTGTTCTGTGCAGGGCTATTCCAGACAGGGTTGATTACTTGAGCAAGGGGCCCCACTCGTGCTCCTGAAGGCTAAGGGTTAGTTAAGAGAAACCAATGCACTTAGCCTGCATGTCTTTGAACTTTGTGAGGAAGCCAGAGTACCCAGATAATGCCCAGGCAAGGAGAACAAACTATACAAAGTCCACACAGTGGGGGGTCCAGGCAGTTAGGTGACTGTACTATCCTTGATTTTGTAACTGGCAGAGCACCTTAGAGAGATAAGATATTAATTTATCGATGAACCTCTTCCCCCTTCATCAAAGCAGAGGTTGTTAAGAAGGAGGTACATTATTTATATGTCTCAGTCCTGGCAGAACTATGTATGTAACATCTTTTAATTATGATTTTCATAAAATTCTGGAGATGTTTGAGGGATTTGAAGGAGAGGAGGAGGAGATTTTTTTTCAGACATTAATAATGGAATAATAATAATTATATTTCCGATAGCTGTTGTGGCTTACATCTTTTTAGTAAATCTTTTTAACAAGTCTTAGTTTACAATATATTGTTTGTCTTTCATATTCACTTCATACTTCATACTTCAGCATTTGTCCCTGTCTGTCTCCATTATTGCAACACCATTGTAACCAAATGGTAAAATAATCACATTTCTTAGCATCTGAAAAATGAACAAAACAGTCTTGTCAGGTATAATAATATATCCATGTCTATTTCCTCCATTTAATTTGGCAGCTTAAAACTTCTTCTTTTATACCAATTATAATATCCCAGTGTAATGAATTAGATCTTTTTGGAAGTGGCATAATACTATATACAGTACCTCTGCATTTCGCATTGATACTTTGATAGACGGAGACTTTATTTATTTTATTTGCAAATGAATTCCAGATGTGTTATCTCATAAAAACTTTTCTGTTAAAAATGAATGAACTGTTTGCTATATCATTTCAACTACTTACCTTGGGGGATTCATCAAGCTCACATTTAAACTCATAGTGAATGGCTGTAAGACTAATAATCAGGTTGAAATGGATGAAAATGGCAATTAATAAAACATTTTGGTTTATGATTAACAGTATATGAGGTCTCAAAAGGTGTTGTAAGATTTACATTTCACACCAGAATCTGTTCTCTTGTAATACTCTGTAGCCCACACTCACAAAAATCATTTTAATAGCTATGTCAGGAAGGCGTTCTTTCCGGACCCTATACAGACGACACAATCCGGGGTAGAGTGAGGAAACATGGGGGAAAACAGGATGCGGGAGTCGGGAATGAAGACAGGGGGGCGTGTCCATGGTGCGCTGGTGGTCGGGGGAGGTGTGGCCGAGGCAAACAGTTCAAAAGTCCAAAAGGGGAATCCAAAAATGGGGCAAAAGTCCAAAGCCAGACGATCCATCCAAGATAGACGAGATAAAAACAAGAACCGGGTCAGAACCGGCACAGGAACAGGAACAGGAACAAATACAGGAACTAAAACCTTAAAGGGACCAGGCGCTGCCGGGTCCCGGACTCGCATGGGATGAAAACCAATGCAGAGCCCGGAATAGCGTCAGTGTCTGGCTTTTAAGGGGAACTGAAAAGGGGGCTGGAACAGGGAGCAGGTATGGGAGATGAATAAAAAACAAGGAAGGGCTAGAGTGCCCTTAAGAGGAGGGGTTTACGATCGTGACAAGCTGGTGTTTACAGTAAAGGGCTACATTCTCTAGAAAATGTTTTGCAAACCAGACATCAAGAAGTTGAGAGATTTGATTTCCCACAAATAGCTTTTCACTAAAGATTTTGCCAGTCATCAGGATGTCCCACGTATCACTCAACATATATGTCTTCAGTGCCCTTCACAAATAATTTGTGATACATTTTTTCAATGTATCAGCATTGTGCTGGGAAGTTAAATGTGTATTGAGGATCCTAATATACATTTAGATTTTATTCTATGTGTTTTGCATTTTAATCGATGTAGAAATTAATAGACCAACATATGTAGACATTAATGCTGTATTCTCTTGCTTTAGAGTAGTTGTCACAGCTCATATAGGCCGTCATATAGAAAGTGAGTACAAAACTACAAAAATAAAAAAGAAAAATATCAGTGAATTTTGACCTGACATTAAACAGTTATACAAAGCACAAATTGATTTAGATCCAAATTGCTTTGAAGCCTTTTAGTGTGCCAGAACATTAGCTCATTCCAGAATCTTGCAGTTTATTATAGGGTTCCCAAAGAGATTAATCAGATGGATGTGCAAGACGGCTACATGTGGTGATAGTAAAGCAGAGGAAATGTGCTTCCATGTTTGTAGACAGCATACAAGGAACAACTATGCTTACTGAATCTCAGAATGCTTGTGAATCTCCCACACAAAAGATAGTTTTTTTAATGCAGGCATCTCATTTTACAAATAATGTATTCTGATGTGAATGGTTGAATAGTGCTAGTCACTTGTATTGTGTTCTGGTCTTCTGATCCTGTTTTTTTACTGTTATTTGAATATTGACATGGACAGTAGTGGCGAGATGGACAGTAGTAGCAATACCAACAATAAAATATAAAGAACACCATCCTATGGCTCATAGACTCATAGAAGGAGGGCCAAATTAAGGATTTGTCGAACCAATTATGGCAAGAGGATCTTTAAGTAGGTTAAATAATAATTGACACTACTAGGTATCGTCTGACAATTGTGTGTACACTTTTTATTGGCGTTTCTTGTTTACCCAAAGTATCACAGCTTAATCTCCTATGTCTCTGTGTGTACCTACAGGTGTGAAGGGACTGATACTTGTAGTAGCATGTTTTCAAATCAGTGCACATGTAATCTAATCATTAATATTGATTAAAACTGTAGTATTTATTAATACTAATATTGATTGGTTAATTCATTACTGATGATCACTTTGCTATAATTCTATCACTTTTATAATATATATGCCTGTATTGCTTCTTCTTAAGCTTCAAATTATACCCATTCCTGTGAGAAGGCTTTGGAAGACATTAAGTTGACCTTGGTGGACGGCTGTATCAAAGCATATAGATAAGGGCTGGTAGAAACTGGCCTCATTAAAACCTCTTGAAGGGGAGATATTACCTATACAGGTTCAAGTAAGGGATGCCCGGTCATCATCCCTGTGTCCTGGGGTTTTCATAGTAACTTTCTTATTTGACTTATAAGTTCCTGTGATGAAGACGAGGAAGACTAGAGGAGAATAATTATGGGATGTTGTCGGATATTTTCTGAGAGGCTAGAGGGAATGGCTAAATGGTAGCCAATTTATTGGCCAATTAAATTTAGAAAGTTACAGTAGAGGTGGTCAATAGTCAGTCACCCCCACCTGAAAGTGTATTTAAAGCCAAGTGCTTGCTCCTATTCTTTGAGATTCCTGTGAAACTTCCATTGTGCACACCGAGAATAGAGGAAGAAGATTCACCTCACTACTATCTCTGGTCTGATTCATCTTTAGGGCTGTCCTGACAGCTTGCCTCCGATCTTAACAGGTGTGTACAACGATATGAGGGTCACGTGAATCGCTGCCATCCCTGCACTGCTGCATTCTCGCCCTGCGGGCAGTACATCGCCACAGGTTCTGAAAACAACTGCGTGAGTCCCCCTAATTTTTATTTTTCTTCTCTTTGGCTTGGGTGTCCATGAACAGTAGTTTTCTCCAGTGTCTGAGTTGGTTGGATAAATTCATCTTACACATGGCATTGTACAGTATATTGATCTGGTACTGTAGAAAAACAGATCTCAAGGCTGTTATGTGAGGTCAGTATGACAGATTGCACAAGATTATAGAAAACATTAAAATCCCAGAATACCATCCTTAAAAAATGTAATGGCTTTTTCTAATGACTCTTCCTAAACGGTACAGTAGCTTGATATTTACTTGACAAAACTACACTTTTTTCAATAAAGTGTTATATACACTCTGGTGTTGATCTGTAGAAAAGACTTTTATCCTTAAGATGGACAAGCTTGGGATAATATTCATTTACACACTTTCAGCATACATACTGTATCACGTTTGTTCTGCCCACAAATAAAATTTATAGATGAAACAAAGAGCATAGTTTCTTTAGTTTTAAATATGAAGCATCTTTTAGGTGGGTTAAATTATTTTGAAAACCAGTCTTTCTCAAAATTGTCTACCATGGTTACAACCACCACTCACAGCTTGCATACAGTCTAATTAAGGCATCTATATCCATCAGAAGAGATGAGGTGTTAAGAAAATGAATTGCTTTGTATTATCTCTTGTCAGTTTCTTACAGGAGAAGACAAGTAATTTAATAAAGCATACTGTTCCTTACCCTATAGTTATACTATGAGTACAAATGACCTTGATTTTGCCATGAAGTCCTTGGGCAGCTGAAGTTCAGTGATAACAGAGTGAATCTGTAGAATGCAGTTCACAGAAGGTGCAGCAGATCAAAGGGTGAAACACACATACTCTTTAAATGTAGAACACATGTATTTGACTGAAATGATAAAGTAATAGCGCAGGTTCAGCAGGGAAAACTCAGACGTTTAATATATTTTATTTGCAATTTTCTATTTTATTTTTATTCTACTTCTATTTTTATGCAGTAGTTTCCATGTAAACTTACCATTTATAAACAGACAGCATAGTTAATGCAACTGTGTATTCACCGGGATTGTGATTTATCACTGCAAAGTGGAATTGTGCTACAGTATTTCATTTGTGAGCAGGAGTGAAACACTGGGCAATGTGTGAGTGTAACAAGCGTCCTTTAACTTCAAGACCAGTTTGTGAAGACCACAGGAGCATTGAACTAATTTTACTGCAGGTTTCAATTCTGATTGATTCTCATTGTCAGTTCAGTTATTCTGTAAGTATAGCTAAGATATACATGTTGAAGTGTTAGATATAGATTACTCATTTTATTGTTACAGTATGTATCCTGCATCATGGTTCAGCTTGTTGTAGTAAGGTGATTTCTGTTTTCTATTTCAAAGCAGTCTATTTTGTTCTTGATGCATTTTGACATTCAATAGAGCTGCTGTAAAAATAAAGAATGTGTGGACCGGTGATATGAAGAATGGCAGTTTCCGATATATCACCAAATAAATATTTGTCAGTAATAGTTTCACAATACAGCATTAAAACTGTATTTTTAGCTGCTTGTGTCCTAAAGTGTAGGGCTTTCAGTATGTTAGAAGTAAATGGGTTGGCATGTGGGAGTGTTAGAGGAGGTGTCTGCAGGTCCTCACACTCCCTGTGGAGTACAGTACAGGAGTTGCAGTAAAGTTGATTGTACAGATGTTGAGTAAAGGATTGTAAAGTGACGTAAAAGACTGTAAAAGATCCCCGAGTGTAATCTCCATTAGGGATTCAGGATTCAGTATCTTTTTAACTTCAATTGATCTAGCCTCAGTCTCAATTTTCCTAATATCTTCTTTGACATTAACTATAATCAGTCCAAAATACGATCACAATTCTAGCCCCAGTCCAAATTTTACATCATTATTTAAGCTGAGAAAGTAAAAAGTATAACAAGAACCCAAAAATAATTGTAACATTTACCCTAGATTTAAAAGTTGCTCTTTTCATAGGGTAACCCGTGTGATATCTTTCCTAACAAATCACACCTATTGCCTTTGATTGAACCTCCTTGCTATAGTGCAGGTGATGTCTCACATGTCATAAAAAATGCACAGAAAACCAAAAAGAAATGGAAAACAAGTGTCAATATACTAAGTACTCCAGTGCAAAACATATCTACAAAACAAGCAATGGTATCTCTGAGCTCACTAATTATAGTTCGGAAACAGGTCTTTTGAAATCACATGATATGCAACAATGCACAGATAAGATTATATTGTATTTACTCTTGGATGGTGTATTTGAATAATGTGAAAAAACCTCATAGCCTCTTATCACAATGCCCAAGCAAAAGGGTAAGGGAACAGAAAAACGGAGAGAAGAACACAATTGTAACATAGAATCTTAAAACACTGACATGTGCTGTAAATCTTAACTAGCCTGACACTTGCAAATGAATTGTAGTCCAAAACCCTATATGATTCATGGATGTTATATGAGTGTCATATAATGTAGTTAAATGTAGGCAAGTTTTCCAGTCAGATATATGTGTCAGATGACATTTAAATATACAAATCTTAACCCTGAATAATGGCTCCTGAATGTTGTTTGCTCCAGGCTATGATGGTTGTCTGTGGCCTTGGTAAATAACGCAAAGTACCTTTGCTATTGCCTTCTCTCTCTTTGTTATGTAAATTTCCATTTCAACCATATAACTCTGTAACAAGACTCTGCCAAGAATATTTTACTATGAATGTCAGTTTTTATTGGCTATCGTGGTACAAAGTCAGGAAGGTGCTCTCAAAATAATGCAACGTTCACCCATTTGAAAACAGCACTATTTTGTGCCATTGTTCCCCTATTGTAAAACATATACTGTAGTCTGTGAATTTTGGAACACTGATTGTTTTAACTTATTTAATCTCAAGAGTGCCCATTTTAAATTCAGACTGGATGTGAAATCAAGGATACAGATAATAATCGAAATGTGTGTTGTATAGTTGACTGTATAGTACAGTTGTTAAATACCTTACAGCCACTTTCAGATTTACCTTCACATTTGGCAACAACAGTCTTTTCCTAATTTTAATAAAGGAAAAACACCTCCGCACTCCACAATCGTAAGATATCCCGATGAAAGTATATCGTTCTAATTATTTTTCCAGTATGTCTGATATAGCTATGTGAGGAAGCCAAGTGATGCAGATTGTTTCTTTCCAGTATCCAGTTCCCTTTCTGTCAACCATTTTTTGAAGATAGTGGAATAATATAGAATAATATATTGATGCTGACAGCTGTTATTAATTGGGTGATTCGCCTAACAACAAAGGCTGTGGAATATCCATGGAGGAAGAACAGTTCCAAGCTTTCTTGGAACTAGAGCAGCACACGGTAGTGTGCTACTTCACCGTTATTTGTTACTGTCCTGAGATTTTGGACAGCCAAAAGTATTTGTACTTGTCTTAATATTTCATAAGACAGTGCTATAAAAACTACATTCTTGTTGCACAACTTAAACCCAGAAAGGAACAAAATAATGAAAAAAAAGTAAGCAGTTGTGTTTCTTCAAAAGATAAAGCAAAAGTGAGGGTTATGAGTCTGAGCAGGCAGGCTGCTGCACAGTGTATCAACATGTGCCTCTGCTTTTGCATCTGAGCTGGGGCTCTGAGAATTCGACAGTGCTCATGGTGACTGAGAGTAGAGCATTGGATCTTTGTGGAGTGTCATGCAGCTCTGTATCTTTACCATGTAGTCTTTTGGCTCAACTCTTGAGCTGCACTGCTCCATCACCTGAGTTTTTTGCAAGGAATGAAAGCAGATCAAGGAAACAGCACTTCTACACCAAATGTGTCAGACTGCTGAATTCAATGAGCCACAGCCCTCTTAAAAGCTCAGGAAAGAGTACTCTGGAGGTATGGGCACAGAGTTTTTGAACATCACAGAAGGAATAGAAGGCTTGTTAATTATTCTATAGCTAAATACAAACACTGAAATTCTAATTGTAACAGGTTTTTTTTTTCCAGTGACCTAAATTCAATGGTAGTGATTTCTTGCTACTTAATAAAGTAATAAAAAATATACAAAAATAAATAAGAGTTTTCTCCCTTGCCATCATGTTCATTATCATTATTGTGGGTGACCTAAAATTAAGTAGTGATATTGATGTTATAAACATGTTGTTACAGTATGAGTTCTTTCTCTCATGTCTGCCATTTGTTTTATTGTTTCATTGTCAACACAATGGTCTCAGCTTATGTATTATTATGTATCCAGAATGGGTTCTCAGTTATACTGCATGCTTCTGTTTAGTGTGGTTTATACTGTATATGTTTGTAAATCACAAAAACATACTGTATATAGAGCATTTATTTCCCATGGAAATGTATGAGCTTGCAGTAATGAACATCAAAGAGAATACTGATATGAGAGCAATTTCATTATGCTCCATATGTATCCTATAATTACATCCATCCACTTCTTATCTGCTTTATTTTTTAGATCCTGCATGCCTCTTCATTTGCTCTTTGTGCTTTGGTTCTTGGCTATCTTGCCAAATTGTTTTTTTTTTTAATCACTAAATATTTTATCATTATCTAAAACATGATTCCTACTGATGTTGAATACTTTGGAAAATTGATCTTTATAAAACACATAGCCTGGAACAAATGCACAGCACCTTGTTTCATCAGTGCCTGTAACAGATAGCTATGTTTGTTACCTTACTGTTTCCCTTTCCTTTAAATAGGAGGCATATTATTATATATGAATTTATATGAATAAAAATCTATACATCCAACATAAGTGAAAACTAGCTTCTTTGTGGACATTTATGAACTTGTGATGGTGCGTTTAGGAATTTTTAAATATAATTGCTTCATTTAAAAAAGTATGTCTGTGAGATACTTTAGTCACATTGCCAAAGTAAACTGAATATTATACTAAACTGCTTAAATATATTTTATATGTTAAGAAGTGCAAACTGGATTTTTCAAATTTAAGAATTGAAATGTGTTGTGATGCCTGGTTGTTCTCATTTATTCAAACACATTCCTCCTGTAGCTTCACAGTAGAGTTTGATTCTGCAATGCACTATACTGTACTATGTAATGCATATAAATTAAGGTCTGTTTCCACAGTGCATCTCGGAAAAGTGGCAAATATTGGAAGGCAAGCTGTATTCACCACTAAGAGCCATTTGTCCTCTGCAGGCCTATGTATTCGACATCCGCAGTGGCACCTATATTCACAAGCTCGCAAGACATTCAGACACCGTCATTAATGTGGCTTTCAACCCATCCAGGCCCCAGGTAAGGAGTCACTTCTCTGACTTTACACACCTCTTGTGCACTACATGCCCACATTACACGTTATAAGGGTGCCTGCCATGCATTTATTCTGGTGATAAAATACTGAAAATTCTTATTGCAGATGGGTTTGAAAATGTTTTTTCTCCTTAAATTAGAAGCCTGGGACTTACGCTGTTCAAATACATTTTTGGGAAGCATGTGTGGAAGTCCTTTTGAAACAGTGATATTTCTTCAGATTATCTCAATTTTCTATTTCAAATTTTGTAATGCTGTTGATATTGAAAATACGAGGCTAAAATGTCCTGTAGCATGTGTGCTTTTAAATACTCTTTGAGGACCAATTTTTGATGCCATAAAACTGCCTTGGGTAAAGTCTCCTGTAATTTGTATTTCAAGAAGGATTAAAAGTAATTTATAAATTAAAATAATTTGGTAGTCTCTGCCCAGTTTTTGCCTCTGGAGTGGCACTGTTTATTCAGTTGTTAAAATTATGTTGCAGGAAATCCTCTCTGAAGTTTTTAAAAACACTATTAAATAGTGCTTTTAAGGATCTCCAGGCCACTCAACACTCCTCGCTCTCTTACCTTCAAAATACACACCATATTGCCGGATTTATCAGAATGTATTTAATCATCATTTCATCATTAATGTTATTACCAGGAGACAAGATGACTCTTTCCAAATCAGAAACTGCAACTCAACAGAGTGCTTATATTTCTTATTAAAGAAGCATGCTTTGCAACCCTTTTCTTCTCAAAACACTAAACCCAAAATATATGGTATTCTGGAAGAAATGGTAAATGATGCAGATTACAGATTTTATAAAACATCTTCCTTCAACTGATAACATAATGTAAAATTGTATATATGTTGTTATCATGTCAGATACTCAGTGCCGCTTTAAGACCTATGTCAGATCTAGATAGTTACAGTAACTGAAAATGGAGGTTCTTAAGCTCAGTCTGGGAATTTCTTTGTTTGACATGGATCACCTTTTTGGCTCTAAACTGCAAAGGCACTTTAAGTATAAAAAGGAGTCTTGGAGTAGTGTGAGCTGGGTAATGTATATAGAGAAGCAACCTGGATGAGGGCCATCCTTGTCCAGTGAGGCCAACCCAGCCAAGGTAGACTGAGATAAAATACCTGAGAGACATGCCTTTCCCAGTAAACATTTGTCAATTATCTTGTGATGTGAAAAAAACTATGAAGTTTCAAGATGTTTCTAGTTGTATGTGTACTAAGTATACACTGTAAAAGGACTGTAGTGTACGTTTTTTCAAGGATTCCTTCTTTAAAGTATTAATACAATATAAAAATACCCCTTTATACTATATAACTGACCACAGTCTTCTGGTTGAACAGCACACTGGATTTAAAAAGGCTGCCCTTTGTATTTTTAATTACTCATGTAACATAAATGTAGTTACTGAGAAGGTCTATCCAGTCACCATTAGCTCCACATCTTACTTTCCCTCTGCTTCTGGAAGCACAAAAAACAGCAATACTCCTTAGAAATGAGAAGAAATACTTTCACTAGGTGCCAGGCAGATGGATTCCCTGGAATTAGTATACTACTTGTATTTTATGCCATGATCCTGTTGAACTCTGTGAATAATCATCCTAAATTTAGGATGATTTAGGATAAAATCCTAAATTTATGTTGCCTTCATGCCATGTCAGCAGGGGCATTGTGTTGAGCAAATTCAAGGAAGAAAGCAGCCAAGGGTACTCACTCAAAAAGAGATTCCTCCGCAGTCTGAACTCCCCTTGGGTTCTGAAGCTTGTGAAGGAATGTGCAGGGGTTAGAAGGGCAGGATCCCATCAAACAACAAAGAGTGTTGGCATGTTTAAATCATCAAGAGGCACAGTCAGGCTGGTAGTGTGTGTTCAACTTGTGTCAGTGTTCTCCTGCTAAAAACCCCTCTACACAATCTAGGAAAAGAGGCAGGTAGTAATTAGATGCACATACATTTTTTTTAAGAGATCAGTTTATTCCACCTTACATAGGGACAATTTTTGAAAATGAAGTAATGGAATATAGTATCTACTGTATAATGTATACAGTTTATTCAATGTCTAAGAGCTTTGTCATTATAAGCACTGTGCATGAAACAGATAGGGATTTCACAGTGTTGCAACAATGCACTCTATTTCAATATCACCCAGTCTGTTTAGGATCAGACCATGGAATGGCAGAGGGTAGTACCTTCTGCACAAGCAATGGTAATGAATGGGCCGGGTGGTATCTCCTGGCTGCCACTTCTTGAGCCATTCTATCACCTGGGAGGTGCAGCACATGTAGTACCTCCTTCACCTCTCCAATTGCCCAGCCTCTCACAGATAAAGGCCCATTCCATGATCAGATTGCTAGCACATCGGTTGCCAATAAGAGTATAGCCTTACAGTAACTGTTTGGTTGTGTATGATGTGTTCTGGGATGATTTCAGGATACATGATCTTGCAGCAAAGGAAATCAAGTTAACTTCCTATATCTTTACACGGACAAAGATTAAGATGGTGTTTCTCCTGCATACTATGAACAACTTTGCTGAGTTTAAATAATGACAGAATTTGATGACATACCTGTGCTGTAATATTAAAATATATATTATTGATAGTTTACACATTCATCATTTGAATCATTGATTAATTGTTTCTGATCATGATTAGCACTGAGAAACAGTCACCCGATGCTAGTAGTATGTCTTTTTTTTGTAAACAGCAAAGAAATAAAGCTTTGGTTTAGTTTCTTTGCTGTTTACAAAAAAAGAATACAGTAATCACTTCAATCGAAGATTTGCACTTCTTCAGCTTGTGCTTACAGTACATGTCATGCTAGAATTTAAATACTGTTTTTCAGATTGGCTTATTTTCAAGTACATAAGTATATACTTCAACAATAAATGTGTATGATACTTAAAAGTCACTTTTTACTACAGTAACAGTGAACTGTAAACAAGAACGATTTTTTGTAATTATTTCTGTAAAGGATTTTTGCTGTAATTCCATTAGAGCAACATTTAAGCTAATTGAAGTTAGCAAGGATTTCGGTTTTTAAAGTTTTCTTCATTTCTTTGAAGTTTTCTCCAACATTATTGAAATTGTCTAACAGACTTTGTTGTTTCTAGTCCATTTTCTCTGATATCCTATCATACCAGATTGACAGTAGATTATTAATATCATTTAAAGATTTTGGACAAGGGTATGGAGGAGTGTAATATTTTTATGCTTCCATTTCTAAATGGATATGAATAGCAATGGGATGTTTTTTCCCCTTGGTCCATGGTTGCAGCTAATCCCGCTGAGATCACACTGTAATACCTTTGAAGACAGTGTACTTCATAACTTCAGGAATTTATTTAATGCAATCACAAGCTGAGTCTTTCCAGACTGGAAGCTAAAGGAATGCTAGTCTGCTTTCCCAAATGAGCAGAAACATAACGGTGATGAGGTGAGCTGAGGGTCAGCTTTATGATGTGGATATGTTGTATAGTGACTGTGGGTAATCTACCCGGGAAAAACACACTCACTCTGCAGGATAATACATTGGGTAAAAGGTGTCCAGACTAAGATAAACAGCAGAAACAGTATTGCAAAGTACTATTAATTTGAGAGCTGGACATACTGTAGATGTTAAACAGAGGCAGTATTCAATTTCACATGGTTTAGAACTGAAAATCTTATATATCTAAAATAATTTAATACAGAAGCCCTATTGTATTTCAGGGTCTATGATAAATAAATCCTAATAATTGTGTTATGAAACATATTTGGTTGGACATATTTAGTAGTCACAGATTTTATCACAAATATTAGGTGGATTTACATTTTTAGAATTGAATAAGAGGCCACTAAAATGTGTGTTTTTATGTGTGAGTCTTTAGACAGTTATCCCTTCATCTTTTATTACATGGGGAAAGTTCAGGAAACAGGTTTTAAGCACAAATGTGTATTAGTTCAATGAGTGATGAATTAAGAATGTAGAGTTTATTGAACATTGAGCAAAGCAATGGTGACTCTTATTATATCTGCTGTACATCTGATGCCTCACAATTTTGTTTCTAGTATTTTGTTAACATATTTTCCTTAAAATCATATGTGTGAAATTTTGGGGTCTAATTAAAGATTGTCTCAAAGTGTATAGAATGCCTTGAATGTTTTTTTACCATTAGAATGTCTCCTTATACAGTACTTCTTGTTTCTTTGCTCTGCTGTGACCTGGGTCCATTTTTCTGTGCTAACAGATGAAACTCAGGTGTCATACATTAGAACACAGGTTCAAGGACAATTTCCTAGTTATGTTTTCAGCATATTTTCAGTTGCCAAAGAGGACTGTAAAGATTAAAACTGAAATTGTTCACTTTCTAGCTGAAGAAAACAAATTCATATAAATTAGAAAGACTCTCTGCTTTGTTTTAAGTGCTATCTGTATTGGAAAATATAAATAATATAATCATTAATTGCTTCTGCAGACAGGTCTGTTGGTGCTTTTTTTCCCATTGCTTTCTTATGAACTCATCTGAAGAATGCATCGGAGTAACAAGCTCTTATTGCAGCTTTAAAAATAACATGACCTTGATTTTTAGGCATGCATTCTGTCTTTGCATCATTGCGTCGCATAAAGGGAGGATGGAATGGGTGGGAGGTTTCTTCTGAGTAACGTGAAGGTTTTTTTTTAGATTGGGTAACAGAAGAGAATTGCTGTCTTAAAAATGGATCCACTCTTTCTTTTCTTGCTGGCATCTATTTTGCAGATACTTACTGTTCGTCTTTTTAAGTCTTCAAAGTAGAGACCATAATTACTTCATACAGCACCTATGATATTGAGCTGTGTGAATACAGCTGGAAAAGCAATGACTTATTCCTTTAAGACAGAGGTTTCACAGACAGGAACTTGTGGATTCAACTACAAATTGGTGCCAGGAGCTTTTCACCACCGTTCTTTTATCTGCAGAAGAGATTATCTGCAATGCATTCTTTACCATTCTCTAAAGTGAACA